CATCAGCAGGTTGGCAGATGACACCAAGGTAAGCGGGAGTGCCGGTCTGCGTGAGGACAGCGAGGCTCTACGGAGACTTAGGTTGGATCAATGGGCCAACGTTAACGGTATGAGCTTCAACAAGGCCAAGTGACAGGTCCTGCACTTGGGCCACACCAACCCCATGCAGCGCTACAGGCTCGGGGAAGCGTGGCTGGAGAAGGACTTGGGGGTTCTAATGGAGAAGCGGCTGAATATGAGCCGGCAGTGTGCCCAGGTGGCCAAGAAAGCCACCAGCATCCTGGCTTGTATTAGAAATAGTGTGGCCAGCAGAACTAGAGAGGTGATTGTCCCCCTGTACTCAGCACTGGTGAGGCCGTACCTGGAGTACTGTGACCAGTTTTGGGCACCTCAACACAAGAGAGATCTCGAGGTGCTGGAGTGAGTGCAGAGGAGGGCAACGAAGCTGGTGAAGGACCTGGAGAACAAATCGTACAAAGAGTGATTGAAGGACATGGGACTGTTTAGTTTGAGGAAGAGGAGACTGAGGGGTGACCTCATCACTCTCTAACTACTTGAAAGGACACTGTAGAGAGACTGGTGCTGGTCTCTTCTCCCAGGTAATTAGTGATAGAACAAGAGGGAATGGCTTCAAGCTACAAGGGGGTAAGTTTAAACTGAACATTAGGAAAGAGTATTTCACAGAAAGAGTAGTCAGGGGCATTGAAAGAAGCTGTCCAGGGAGGTGGTTGAGTCACCATCCTTGGATGTGTTTAAGAGTCGTTTAGATGCATTGTTCGGGGATATGGTGTAGGGGAGAACTTTGTAGAGTAGGGTAGATGGTTGGACTCAACGATCCCAAGGGTCTCTTCCAACCTAGTAGATCCTATGGTTCTATGATTCTATGATGTTGGCTTGCTACCTGGTTTTGAGCCTGCCCAAACCAGAGCAACCGACCCCAAATCCCTGACCCTCACTGGGCTCTGCTCACACCTCTCAGGCACGGGACTCTCTTCCCAGTTTCTGGCTTTCGGGCCTGTTTCTTGCCAGAAAGCTGCAGGCACCTCCAGAAAGCATCATCCTCTCAGAAAATACAGAATTACAAAACATTGGATGTCAAGATTTCAGAGATACTGAGGTAAAACTCTTGCCTTGCTGCTCATTGAAAAGGACCATAGCCTTTTTTGATAGTAGGTGTCCACTTGCCAACTTTAATTCCTGTTAATGCATGAGCTACCATCTTCTCCCCCTCACCTGGTAGCATTACAAGCTCTTTGCTTTCCCCCAAATCTCCTCTCTTCTTTCCAGGCCCTTCCTATCAGCCCTCCCACGCCCCACGCCTGCACACACACCCTTCTGTTGGCTCACTGGCTGATCTCAGCTGTGGGAAGGTAAACGCTGTGGTTGCCACATCCAGGAAAACACAACTAGTAGGGAAACAACTTCAAAGGAGATGTCACACACCCCCTTTCTCCCTCACAGTGGCAGTTTCTCCTACTAAGAATAAAGTTTTACCACTTGTCTTTGTCCCTTACAGCATGTCCTGTGCTTGTGTCTCCTGACTTTTACTCTTTCTTCTCCAAGGCTTCTCTTTAACTCCACTTGCATCCTGAGAGCCATTATTACCCTGAAACAGAAATACATTTAGCAGCTTCAACATTTACAGTGTATGCAGAAATTCTTCAATTTATAGGACAAACTGAGACATTATTTCAGAATCTGCTCTCGTGAGACCCCACCTGGAGTACTGCGTCCAGCTGTGGAACTCTCAGCACAAGGAGATGGACCTGTTGGAGTTAGTCCAGAGGAAGGCCATGAAGATGCTCAGAGGGCTGGAGCACCTCTCTATGAAGACAGGCTGAGAGAGCTGGGGTTGTTCAGCCTGGAGAAGAGAAGGCTCCAGGGAGACCTTATAGCAGCCTTCCAGTACCTGAAGGGGGCCTACAAGAAAGCTGGAGAGGGACTTTGTTTACAAAGGCATGTAGTGATAGGATGAGGGGTAATGGGTTCAAACTCAAAGAGGGGAAATTTAGATTAGTTCTCAGGAAAACATTCTTTAGTGTGAGGGTGGTGAGGCACTGGAGCAGGTTGCCCAGAGAAGCTGTGGATGCCCCATCCCTGGAAGTGTTCAAGGCCAGGCTGGACGGGGCTTTGAGCAACCTGCTCTAGTGGGAGGTGTCCCTGCCCATGACAGGGGGGTTGGAACTCGATGGTCTTTAAGGTCCCTTCCAACCCAAACCATTCCATGATTCTATGATTCTAGAGCCTACAGCTGTGTCTTTTGCTTTTACTGGAAAACACCAACATGTATAATTGTAGAGCTTGCTAATAGTGCTTGAAAGAACCATCAGGTTATTGGGCAAGAAACAGATTCCTCACTCTGAGAAAAATGGGTACCTCTATTAATATATCCTAATAATAAACACCAGTAATATTTTGTCTTCATAGTAAGATGTCATCCAGATAAGCCTTTCAAGCCACAAGCCATACGGTAATTAGACCAATGCGTAGGGACTTCTGGGAATAAGCAACATGTATTTGTATCGGAATCAGTAATGACTTCATCCTTTTGAGGTCAACAATAAGGTAACAGGTATCAAATTCAAATTAACAGCCTAGTGTCAGACAGAAAAATTACTTCTGAAGGCCATTCTCTCCTGGGTTTTTCTAATTTGTATGCAGTACTTGGTATTACTTGTTCTAAAAGTACAAAATACTGCTCTTAAGGTTTTGTGGGCTCGGAGCAACAAAAAAATAGACCAGCTTGGCAAAAATATACTCCTCCACACACCTAGGGAAAATAAAAATTTAAATTCTTTTTTTCATCACCATTGCCTTAAATGTTGAAGAAGCGGATTTTTGTGCCTGGCAATTTTTTCATTACAACAGTGTAAGGCTGATTTAAAGTGCTGAGAGTCAGGTCACGTCTACTCCATTTAAAACCTAGGAGTTTCAAAAGGAACATAAAAATCACTCAGTATGCTGACTCATCCATTACAGCAACTTCAATATTTAAACTGCTGATACTTATCTTCATTGTGAGCCAAAGTGGATTCCATCAAAGCTGGATTTATTGCAATCTGGTTTCTATTTACTCTTGTGCAATGTATTCAATTTGCAATTAGCTCTTCTTAAATCTATCACTGAATTAGTTTAAACAGCAATTCAGATCCAATTCCTGTAGATCATAACGAGAATCAAAATCTGATCTTTTTAAGAGTACTGTATCAAAGGACTGTTTAATTTACAGCTTTCATTAAAAGCAAGAACACATTGATAAGTTATTGAAATAAACAGACATTCATAAACGCAGCTGCTAAAATGAGTGAGGAGTTTATGAGGTCAAAGCCTTCTGGTACTGCCTGGTCTAACACCGTGATCTTAATGAATCATACCCCTATCACAAAGGAAAGGACAGAAATTTGAGCTCTTACCAAGCCCCCAGAAACTGAGGACTGTGATGGAACTCGATTTTTCTTCCCGAGCATTTAGATTTGGGCTTGCTTATATGGCACATCAAGACCACACGCACATTTTGTTCCCACTTCACCACTATACAGGACTTAACTTCTGCGTCTGCAAGACACCCATTATCTCTTATCATCTTTGCAAACTTGGGAAGCCACCTAATATTACATTAATTACTGGCTGGCCCAACTGATCCACGCATCACTGATATACCCTTGCCTCCTAAGTGAATCTTGGCAGAAAGAAACTAATAGCCATGATCTCATCCTTTCAGCTAACAACTTTCAGAGCACAGCACAAGCATCCCAGTGGCGTGAGCTAGGGGCAACAGATCAGTCTGCACATAATGCCTTTCTTTTTTATTTTTACCATCTTCATTCCTACAAAAAGGAAGCTGAGATTAGCCCCGTTTTCTACATGACAAACAACTTGCCGCTATTACTGATTTGTCATATCACAGAGGCTTGAAAGACCTATAGTGTTTACCAATACATAAATTATATTCAATTATATTACTAGATAATACCATCTGACAAATGATACTTCAATTAACCCCTTCTACCAATAAAAATAAATAATGTTCTGCCTGCATATTAAGACCTCATCTAGATGATCAAGCGCAGAGAGAACAAAAGGAGAACATACAGTGCTACCCACCCCCAAAAGCAAACACATTAACCCAAGCCTCTGCTGGTGCTTGGGGATCTGCCAAAGGACAGTGGTTGCCATCATCATCTGGCTTCCATTTCTGAAACTCAGAGAGTGGAAATCCACCCTCCGTGGTGTATCAGAGCCTGTGGGACACCTTCCCAGACTGGCAGGGCACAGCACAACTCCCGCACAAGCGGAGACAGCAACAGCCTGAGTCACAGGGGCATCTGAGTGAGGAAGGGGGTCCACACAGAAACCAATATATCCAGTGACAACTTTTCAAAGTGTCCCCAGGAAAATCAGATTGTGTAAGGAGCTGAGAGGTTACTGAAGATAAATAAATCTTTGGCATCAGGAAGATTTTTCCAAGCCATTGCCCAGAAACTTTAATAATAATACAGCAATATTTCACAAGTTCTTTGATGCCAATATTCCAAGATATTTAAATGGTGCAATTACTTTTGAAAATTAATATTCCCTTCTCCTCTCACCTCCAAAAAGCCCTGTGACTAGGGTACAGTTTTCGCCAGTCTTCTTTATTTGCTCACATGCTTTCTGAGACTTACTTCTGTGTTAAAAGTCAGATCCAAAAATGGATCTCCTGCAGAATGTACAGTTCCAGTCCAGAAATCCAGAAACCTCCCTTTATTCCCATTTAATTTAACCTCGAAGACATGAATGTATGTTTAAAAAAAATGCGTGAAACCTGTCAACAATTTATGAGCTGTAAGCATTGAAATAAGGAAGGATAAAGGTCGAACTAACAGGGCACAGCAAGACTTTTACTTCCACTTTGTCCTTAACATGTTTTCCTTATGCCTCAGTTTAACCTTTGGAAGAGATAACAGACTCTAAGTGATTAAACTTTATGCTAAAGTAAAGGGATTTAAGCAGAAGTAAAATGAGCTGCAAGAGGATAACTGAATTTATTTGTTTCTTAACAACATTCACAAATAAATCAATTAAGCACTTGCAAATGCATATCAGACAACCCAATTCCTTAACTGGTGTAACAGTGGACTGCTGGATTTTACATTTTCAGTGTACCTGAAATTTCTCTAGTGCTACAAGTTTCATTAATAAAGTGCATTCAAAATCTTGACAAGACAGATGAATTAGTGTTATCTTATTTCAATGTAAGGTTTAACCACTTAAATAGAGAAGACTTCCATCCAAACCTTTTAACATTTTCCTCTTCTTTTTCTTTTGTGTCTGAATTAGAAACCTCTCTGTTTTCCATCAAAGCTTCGTAAGTCTTTTGTGCTCGAACAATTTCTTTGTCTGCACTGAAGTGCACCATTTGTCTGCTCATAATAGGAACAACTAAATTGAAGTTGTCTATTCTTTTGTTTAATTTCCTGATATCTTCTATAAATTGCTCACAAATACGATTCCATTGCTTTTGCCTATACGGAGTCATTGGCCCTCCAAGCTGACTTCTAGAAGCCACTATGTTCTTCCGTAACCGCTCAATAGTTTCCCGTATTTCTTTCTGCAACAGGATCCACTCTGGCTGGTACCCATTGTCTATCAGAATCCTGTTCAAGTTGTGAGTCATAGGGTCGATATGCGGACAGTCGGAAAATTTCTGCAAGGGTTTTCCTTTGCCACTGAGGTTGTCAAAGTCTCCTTTCGCCATCGATTCCTGGATGAGGTCCTCAACTAACCGCTCAACTGCTTGCGTTATTTTCACCTTTTTGCTCTCCCTCACATCTTTGGCTTTCATTAGGTCGGTCCCAGCATACTGGCTTTCAAGTCTCTGCTTCCGGTACTCCAACACTTGTTCAGTAGCACGGTCTACTCGAAACTGCATGTATTGCTTCTCTCTTTGGCTTGGTGTCCCGAAACCAACACCTTCAAAACTCAAGTAGTGTCGATGCTGTGGTGCTTTTGGCTTGAACTGGTCTTCCTCCTCTTCATTACTCTCGTTTGATTTCTTTTTGGTCGCCACATCACTCAGCACAACTCTGTACGCTTCTTCTACTTTCATAAACGCTTCGGAATCAGCTGTGGCAGAACCGCTGTCTGGATGGTATTTTTTGGCAAGACTTCGATACGAGTTTCTGACATCATCAAGGGAACAACCTTCCTCAAGCTCAAGAATTTTGTAAGAGTCCTTGATGTTCCTTTTTGGTTTGTAACCTGACAACATTCTGCTGCCACAAATGTAGGGAAACGGCTTCAGGTTTCTTGGAATCATTGCTTGATGTACCATGAAATGATGCCCTATGTTGTTAGTCAGCATGACACAAAGCCACTTCAAATTTCTTCAGATGCGGCTACATTATAAACAATGACCTATAAACACATTTTTATAAAAATTGTGTTAATGTGCTTTTTGAAAGAACTTACAACGGCTACATTATAAACAATGACCTATAAACATATTTTTATAAAAATTGTGTTAAATGTGCTTTTCCAAAGAACTTACATGATTTAAGTCTTACCTTTAACTTGTTATATTATTTAAAGAAATCCCTACAAAATTTCAGAACAGAATACAATGTTCTTTTCTTTTACAGACTAATATTGAATTCTGTATTTCTTATTAATTACTATTTTAGCAGTAGTGTTATCATGTAAATGAAAATGAAATCACAATATAGTTTTCTCCATAGGTTTGCTTTGCATTGCAGAATTCCCAAACAGCCAAAGCGTTATTGCCTTTCTGCAAACTCAGTGCAATGTAAACTGCACATAAATATGCTTTATGTTGAGCAGTAACTCTGTCGAAGCAAATCTCTCCCTTTTCCTCCATACACCACTACTCAGGCATCAGCTGAATTTTCTATTCACATACATCAACCCCTCAAGATCTACTACCTGGTGTATTCTTGAATGATTTCACTACAGTACCCTTCAGCAATAACTGCAGCAGCACTCAGATTATAGATTGATTTCACTACAGTACCCTTCAGCAATAACTCAGATTAAAGATCCATTTAGATTAACTCCTGTATCCCAGCAGGACTCTCACATCCCAGTAGCCAATATCCTTTGTTTGTGCCAGGTAAGGTTATAAATGTGGAACTCAGAATAGACAAATAGCAGACAGTATCTCATTCTATCAGGAATACCACTGCTTCTGAAATATTTTGGGAAACAGCAAAAGGAACACCTTCAGCAAACAACATAAGTCAGTCTTCCCGTAAAATCTACAGTAGAAAAATATCATACAAACTGCATACACGATTTACACATCAGCTAATTCCTCTTTATTAATGAAAATCCTACAACAAATGCCACATATGTGGTGCTCAAGAATCTCCTTTTGCAGATTCATCAGTGACTGCAACACAGCCTTTGCTGACTTCCTTTCCAAACAAAAAAACAGGTGAAATCAAGGTTGTGTTTAACTAGTGTTTATACGGTCTGCATATACCAAACTGCCCTTCTGCACTAATCCACCGGAAAAGAGACAGAAAAGGAGATGTGCTTGGGACTGGAAGAAAATTTGGATCAATACTGAATGTTTTCAGTTGATTTTGATCCAGGTGAGGTATTAAATCATCAGCCTGTGGTTGCTATAATGGACCTTATTAATATTTTTTTAGGGCTTTTTGGTTTTGAGGTGGGTTTTTTTGGGTTTTGGTTTTGTTTGGGTTTTTTTTAGTTTATGATATAGAGTATTGACTTCTTTCCTTTTACATGGTTGGCAAAAATACTAATTTAGCTCCATATGGCCATAAAACTCCAGGTAACTACTACTTAAATGCCAAGACCAACGAATACACTCTTGAAATTCAACATACTGATTGGAAGCTGGCTCTCTCATAGTTCTGTAGACTTGATTGTCATACATTTGTGCTTAAAATAAACTGCTACCAAGCTGTTTGTACAGCACTCACCCCGAAGCACCGAAGACTGACAGTGGGGGGGACTATGCATACCTGTGTGTATTATTTCCCAGCCGTCTGACGTCGGCTCTAGCAGGTAGAGGGGGTGGACAAGGTAAAGGGTAGACAAGGCCGCCGTCCCTGTCATCCCCTCCTCCGCTGGGCCTGTGGCACGACACAGGCCTTCCCCCCGACGGCTGCCCCCCAAGCACCGCACCGGGCGGGCCGCGGGGACATGGAGGGGCTCCAGTCCCTGAGGCGACATGTCACAGGAGGGCTGAGGAACGCAGTTACCGCCATCCCGCCCCCTCCCTTAACGGCTGTTCTGAGAGGCGGGGGACGGGGTGACGACGACACTCCCCGCAGCACCGCGACGCGCTCTTTTTCACCCAGGGCCCCGCCGCCCACCACCCCCGCCTCACCTGCTCCCCGCCGCCGCCCGCCCTTCCCCCTCCCGCACAGCGAGGCAGGGCCGAGGGGGCGCGGCAAACGCCAACAACGGAGGAGGAGGAGGAAGAGGAAGGGCGACTGCTTTTACCCTTCCCTCAAGGACGTCTCCTAACGGCAGGAAATTCTTTAGTGTGAGGGTGGTGAGACACTGGAGCAGGTTGCTCAGAGAAGCTGTGGATGCCCCATCCCTGCAGGTGTTCAAGGCCAGGCTGGATGGGGCTTTGAGCAGCCTGCTCTAGTGGGAGGTGTCCCTGCCCATGGCAGGGGCACTGGAGCTAGATGATCATTAAGGTCCCTTCCAACTCCTAACCATTCTATGACTGTTCTTTTTTTCATATGTACACTTAACACATGTAAAACCTAACTGCTTTTTAGCCTTCATTCTCCTGAGCGCATTCCACCCTACTAGGGGACAAGTTCCTCTACTTCTTCACAGACTCATGACACACCTTCCCCTGCAGTACTTACCCTGATGAAGACTTGATCTCTCACAGCATTCTTGGCCTTGCTGGTGACAGGGTTGTCCAAATTCTGTGAGTGCCTCAGGGCATCTGTGCTAGCAGCAGGGTAAGCTGGCACTTGTTGGGCTCACCCAAACAGGCTGTGACCCAGAGCTCCCAGCCTCTGCTGCATTGCTGCAGGCCAGTGAATGCCTGGTGAGCCCAGACCTACTGTCTCTGTATGTGGCATCGGCTTGCTGTTGGGAAATAGCAACTTCAGCTAAAGAAACCCTAAGCTAAGAAACAGTTCTCATCCTCAGCCTGGAAAGGAGGACCCAGATGCGAGCCGAGCAGGTGGAAGACACACAATTTTTGGGTTTTGGTTTTGTTTGGGTTTTTTTTAGTTTATGATATAGAGTATTGACTTCTTTCCTTTTACATGGTTGGCAAAAATACTAATTTAGCTCCATATGGCCATAAAACTCCAGGTAACTACTACTTAAATGCCAAGACCAACGAATACACTCTTGAAATTCAACATACTGATTGGAAGCTGGCTCTCTCATAGTTCTGTAGACTTGATTGTCATACATTTGTGCTTAAAATAAACTGCTACCAAGCTGTTTGTACAGCACTCACCCCGAAGCACCGAAGACTGACAGTGGGGGGGACTATGCATACCTGTGTGTATTATTTCCCAGCCGTCTGACGTCGGCTCTAGCAGGTAGAGGGGGTGGACAAGGTAAAGGGTAGACAAGGCCGCCGTCCCTGTCATCCCCTCCTCCGCTGGGCCTGTGGCACGACACAGGCCTTCCCCCCGACGGCTGCCCCCCAAGCACCGCACCGGGCGGGCCGCGGGGACATGGAGGGGCTCCAGTCCCTGAGGCGACATGTCACAGGAGGGCTGAGGAACGCAGTTACCGCCATCCCGCCCCCTCCCTTAACGGCTGTTCTGAGAGGCGGGGGACGGGGTGACGACGACACTCCCCGCAGCACCGCGACGCGCTCTTTTTCACCCAGGGCCCCGCCGCCCACCACCCCCGCCTCACCTGCTCCCCGCCGCCGCCCGCCCTTCCCCCTCCCGCACAGCGAGGCAGGGCCGAGGGGGCGCGGCAAACGCCAACAACGGAGGAGGAGGGGGGGGGGGGGGGGGGGTGTGTGTGGTATGTGTACCTGTGTGTGTTATTCCCCAGCCGTTTGACGTCGGCTCTAGCAGGTAGAGGGAGTAAGCTCTCAATATGGTAATCCTTCAATAATTCAATTTCTTCGATCTAATTTTTGGTTAATTGTTGCTACATCTAATCCAGGTGCAAAAAGCCCAATTAAGTTTTAATTTCAGGAGTTCAGCTAAAGTTCAGTCAAAATTCTATTACAATTTTATATAAAGGGCTGATGCAACTTTTTAACCGTATTCTTTTAACATCAGGGTGTGGTCGAGCGTGCTGCATATCCAGCCTGAGAGGTGGTGGCACTGACATCTGAAAGGAACCAGCAACCATGTACAGCAATCTGCTTCACTTTACAGCTTCCAGCGTTATACTCTGACAGCTCATCCTGTTGTGGCTTTGCCAATGTGCTAATCTAGTGAATAAACAGCATGAAATACATTGTTTCAGAGATATTTTTCTTTTCTATTCATTAGGTAATGGTTTTCTATGTTTTCTTAATTTCAAATTTGCTTTCTGTAAAAGTCAGAATTCTTTATTGGAAATGTGTATATGTGTATATTGGAAATGTGTATATTGTCTTTCTCTGCTGCATATTCTCTTCATCACCTAAGAAAACAATTTGTTAAAATAATTGCAATACAAATTGACCCACTGGAAGTAATGCAAGTTTAAATTATCTTCTTCTGGCCAGTCATGTAGCAGAGAGATGTTTCAGGGCTGCACAAATTCTGTTGCTGACCTGAATTGTCACGGCCTCCTGACTATAAGAAAAAATTGCAAAAACTGTTGCAAAAGAGAGGAAATTTTATTCCTGTTTTTTTCTTGTAAGAAGTAGGACTCTCCTTGTGGTGGTTTGCTCTTCAGTCACAGGTGGAAAATGTGGAACTGTGAGTTTGCAAATCTAAGGCAGTCTACAGATACTGGGTAAGTGATGCTTAAGACTACTGTAGCAGGCATGTCTC